CTTCTGTTGCCTACAAGTGTGTTGCCCGCAGCTTTGAAAGCCATAGCATGATTTAATCACAATGTTTGGGTGTTTTATTTAAAATGAAATACAGGAATGCAGCACACAATCTTGTTTTGGTGTGTTAAACTTACATTTAAGTTACTATTGTGATGAAAACCATACAACTGTGTTATCCTTACTTTGACATGCCTGCATTCTTAAACTTGTTTCTGTCTCTGAAGCAAAACTAAAAGTTTAGTGCTAACAGACTTTTATTTTTAAAAATATCTACTGAAGTTACAGGGTTTGTGAACTTAAGCCCTAATGATTTGACAAAGAGTATTTGTCAGCCACATAGCTGTTAATTTGAAGAACTATAAACTTCTAGAGGAAACTGATCATCATGATAAAGAGATGAGAAAAAGAGCTGTGTTTTGTGTAATCATTTGCATTTGCCTCACAGTGGTGAATGAGAGTCAAGCACCGTCCAGACTCATCAAAATACATCTGGAACAATCAGCTAGGTCAAGCCAGGCTTAGTAGGTCTGGGTCAGTATGAACCATGACGTGCCTGCTCTGGGCAACATGGTGCTAAACCTGTGAAGTGAGACTGAAGCCTGAAGTCCCCCTGTGGATTGGTGCTGTGAGTTCAAACCCTGCTTGCCCTGCCCCAAACCAAGCCCCGCTGTACTGAGAAGGCACCTTTATCAGGAGGGTAGTTTTCCCAGGGTGAAACTCATCACTTGCAGTTCAGGTATGCTGACCCCTGTGATTTCCACAGATGCAAAGCTAATGAATATAGCTGTAATCTGTTAATAGGTGACTCATTTCAGACCATGGCAAAAGCATTTATTTGTAATGTGAAATACTAGGGCAAGATAAAACATATGTCACAGACTTAGGATAGAGGAAGAAGGCAGAAGAAAAAGGAACATAGACATGATTAAAGGTATGTCTAAATTCCTAAGACATCATAATTGGAAAGTAAAAGTAAGTATGCAAAAGCATAGGAAGTGGCTAGTGATAGATAAACCTGAAAAGGTACTGAAAACATACTAGCTGCCCGTTGCTTATTTACCAGTCAGACCCACCTTCTCCCTCTCTGCTCTCTTCCTTCTCCAGCCCCAGTACCCAAAATCACTGAAATGAGTACACATTTTCCAAGGGTAAATGTTAAAACACTTAATAACTTCAACAAGATGGAGGTTCAGAACAGCATCAAAGCAACAAACCTGATAAGTTTTGATTTCTGTAAAAATCAAAGGTACTAAGACAAATGTCAATAACATTGATTTTGGACAATTTTCTAAGGACAGGCAGGATACATTATTAGGTAAGAGTCTGGAAATGTGAAAGACAGCAGTAAACAAGGAGATTATTTAATTTAGAAAGGGCATTTCATGTGGATCCCTGCAAAAAATATCAACTAGTAGAGTGAGCCAGAGAGTTTAGAGAAAGAAATACCAAGCAAGAAAAGGTAAAAAATATGCCTTTTTTGTGATTTAAATTATATTCCTGTATCTTTCAGCCTCTTTCTCAAACCAATGAAATGGGCATTTACGTAGACAATGAGTAAAAGCAGTGAATACATTATAAATAATACAATGCAATAGTCTACAAAGCCACCTGTCAAAATAGTGAGGGGATTCCAAGTCATCTTTTCTTTTTTGGGAGGGAAAGAGAAGAATAGAATAACATGAGTATTAATACCAGTGCTCGTTGATTTTATTTATAGCTTATCTGAAAGTTTTTATTAGTTTTTAATGAACAACTCGTGACAAAGTTACACCAGAGAAATATAAGTTAGGTAATCAAATAAGAAAGAATGAGCATGTGGGTATGTGGTCCTTTGAATATGTATTGTTGCAAACTTTTTGTTGTTTTCTGTGGCAAATTATATGCCAATATATGTGAAGAAATGCCATAACTTTGAGCATCATAACAAAGAACAGACCAGTGAGTTGTCCAGTGCTTTTATTTTTTAAAGTATATTCAATGTGGTAGCTATGCTTAATGTATTTCGTTAATAAGAAGAAAAACACAAATTTAATAGAAGTATCATAAGAGTACATACAATGAAGTAACAGCATGTTGAAATCACGCTCTGAGCTACCACAGCTAGAAGCTAAATCTTATGGTGTGGCATCTTAGGGAGCAATTTCCCCTTTCTTTAAAGAAAAGGTATGTGGAAAGTGAACTGTGATTACCACAGCTGCAGCTACTTCATCAGTAAATGGTCACAGGTGGCACAGAAGGAGATTATGCTCAAATAATCAAGCCAGAAGTTTCTAATGGAAGGGCTTCTTAAATAAAGTCTCTTATGGTTTTGTATATAATCTTTACATAATATCAAGTGGATGTGGCTATAATCAATTTAGGATCATGTTCATTCTCCAGGTGTGGCACCCCAGATGAAGCTGAGACTTGACACCCATGAGAAATAACAACATGAAATATATTATGCATAGTCTTGTGTTTTTTCATAGTACCTGTAGAGACTAGAAGCCACATTCTTTGTCTTGCAAATTTCACAGTATAAATGAACACGTGGGTTTTGTTCTTACCAATTACCACAAAACAATCTCTGAACCCCAGACTTCCAGTCTTTATTTAATTACTAAAAATGCAATTCTTGCGGAAAAAGTGAAGAATGAGTAATCACTGCATACAGAGAAAAACAGATCTGGATCTCTCGTTGGTTAAACAAAAATCCTTTCTGCCTCCTAACACAAGAAAAGAAGAAGGAAAAGAGGGAACAAAAAGTGAGCAGTCTATTATTCCATCACAAGTACCTTCTCTCAGTGAGAAGACTTCCAATGGATGTGGCTACAATAGTGAGGGCTGGGTAGCACACAGGCCGACGATCAGTCAGTGGCAGATATCAGGGTTACTAAGCTGGGGGAAGAGTGTCCACTGAGACTAGAGCTGTGTCTCTTAATTAGTATTTCAGTTCCAGTGTTGCTTTTTAACATTATATATTATTGCTTGATAATACCAAGAAAAATACAATATATTTTAACACAAAGGGAATCTAGTAAAGTGTGCTGTTGTCCTCGTGGCAGAAAGGGCTGATGGAATATGAGCATAAAAAATGACATTCCAACTTTTGCGAGCTGGTTGCTGATGGCAACTTGATGAAAAATAGGTCTATGATACTTTTATAACGAGATCAGAATGATTAAGCCAGCATGGTGTGCCCAGTTTACAACTCCTGCTGCTGGCAAAGACTGTGTTTGTGTCTTGCTGTCAGCTGGCTAGATCTTCAGCTGAAATGAGATGAGTGGCAGCACGGCTGGTGAACGGCATTACTTTTCCAGGCAGCTTCCCATCAGAGAAGGGGAAAGGGAGCGTGGCACAGGGAGTCCTGAGAAGACATTTGATCTGGTGCCAGTGCCACGTACAGTCAGCCCTGATTGTCAGCTCTGGATGTCTCTTTTATTGGCAAACCATCTCTGATGGTCATCAGAACAGTGTATACCAGGGACAGAGGCTGCAGAAAAGAGGGAATGTAAATACTGAATCAGTTTGACTGAAGGAGGTTGTGGACTTCGGTAAAGCGGAAGTGAGAGGGAAAACTGTGCTAGTAGGTCACATTTTGTTGGTTAAAACATGTATCCAAAAAAACCCACCACTGACATTGAAATAAAGTGGTGAGCCCCAGATGAAAGAAATCCCATAGCAGCCTTCAAAGTTCCTGGAAGTGCTGAAGATGATTAAGTTTGTCTTCTTAGATATATAGGAATGATCCTGGAGGGGTGAAACGCATTCTGTAACTTTGGACAAGATATCAGAAGTAATGCTGGGAAAAGAATTCACTAGTTTGCTCCTTATTCTATGTTTAAAAAAAGGAGTGTAAGAAACCAACTTCAGTAATCACTATTAATTCTCCAAACAAAACTGTCAATGTTCTTAGAAAATTGAAAGACAAATTATTAATTCCTGCTATGGCATGAGATGTATGCTAGGTTAACTGAAAGATTCAGTTGACTAATGGTTGGACAAGTATGGATATTCACTCTAAGATCATAACACTGCTACAAATCTTGAATCCTCTGTATGTATAATGATATAGAAGCTAATTTTTCAGCTTGCCCTAATACCTCATTCATAGTTTCAGTGAACTTTTGATCCAGATTTAATGTGAAAAGTCACTTGTAATAATGTGAAAAGAAGAAGTTGCGATTAGGATGCGAATATTTTCTTGGAAGGACTAAATGAGTGGATTATGTACTTATCCCCTATTTAATAATACCTAAATGAAATAGTCCTAAGGAAATAGAGGATTAAGGAATAACAAGTATAATACATAGCAAGTGGTCTAGCTGGAGAAAGTTTACAGCATGTAAAATATCCTCCACTAAATCTACTGTAGCAAATTTAACAGGGAGACTGAATTACTTTAGATACACATGTGCTTACAGTGGTCCATTTTGGCCAAGGCTAAGGTTCAGGAAGGACAGAGAAAGTCTCTCAGGCTACCTTTCTATTCTTGTATCTATCCAGTCCATGAGCAGAGGACTCCAGCTGTGAATGGTCTTCATCTTCTTAAGTAAAAAAACCCTAAATATTAGTGTAAAAACAAGCAAACAAATGTAGCATAATTGCGTACAGATGCGCTGTTTGTAAATCTGTGAGTCATCCAGCAGCCCAGCTCTCCTTAAGGTCAGTTGAAAAACCTTCTGTTGACTTTAGTATATGTAGAACAACAATTCACCAATTCAAAAACTGTTTTATGTTTTCCCAAACTAACATTTTCCAAAGTTGCACAGTATATTTGAAGATGGATCTGTATCATGTGCAACTGCATTCAAAAGTGTCGGTATTTCTGCATGAAATTTCTGAACAATTTCTGTATTATCAGAGTTGCATTTATAGGTGCTAAATGACATTAGCAGAGAGTAAGGATGTGCATTTTGATGTTGCTTAGTGACTCAAGTTAAGGGCCCATGTTTCCATTCCTAGTTCCTAGCTACCTTCTTTTTATCTAAAACAAAGTTTACCTTCTGCTTTTTTTCCAGGTCTGGAGTTGGTGTGACAGGTTCTAGCCAGACATTATTTTATGCAGAAGTCACAGACCAGATGAGAATTGGGGAAGGAGGTGGCCAAGCTGAAGAAGGCGAGCTGATTGAAGTTGTAGAAATACCTTTAGAAGAGTCCATGAAGTTTGCTTATGATGAGACTCTCCAGAAGACGATGGGCGTCATCTTCAGCTTCACATGGTTCCAAGACAACATAGCACCCAAGCTACGGAAAAAATAAAATCAAAGCACCTCGATTGCAAGAAAAGCTTTCCAACTGGTTCTGTGGATACAGAAAACTGCAAATCTGATCATCATGTCTTCTCATGGGGCAAATCTTTCTGGAAATAAATTTAGAAACAAAATCTCAATTAAAGTCCTGACCCAGTTTCCATCATTAGCAAAACACTTGCTGGCTTCACTGGGGCCAGGATTTGCCTCTGAGGCAAATGTGAGTTTTTGCACAAAAGTCAAATTAATGTGTTCCATTCTTTTTCATGGCACTGTGCTGCCACTATTTTGAAGACTCACTCAGGACCTTAGTGCAGCTGCTGTGTGAGCCTGTCACTGGGGTCTGTACATACTGGCAACTGTGTGTTCACTGTAGTTTCTGACATTTTTTGGGGTGGAAGCAGCAAAGCTTAATAATCACAGATACAATTACTACCTTCCTGAGTAATGCACAGCTTTTGGGGAGTAGCTTTCTCTGTGGTGTGTAGCTCCTGTACAGAGATGTTTGCATTTCTCAACATGCAGACCTTCATCTTACAAGCAAATGTGTCTGTAAATCCTTCTGCTAATGTGTCATTTTGACAATAGACCAGCTGTAAGATTATGTGCTTCTGTGTGTTCCCACTATAATGCTGAGCAGCAGTGATGGTGATGGATGAATGATGGGGGCTTCTACTAGAACACATGCTGCTTTGTTTGTTTTATGGGTTATAGTTGCTTATGAGACCAAACTTTGTCCTCAAAAGTGGGACTAGAGAGGGCAAATTCTTTTAATTTGTCTCTGCGGTGACTAATACAGGTGATTTCAGTGGTCTCGGTTTCTGTCACCCAAATGGGAAGAATGAAACTTACCCCTTAGATAATGTGCCTTGAAACCTAATGATCAGAAGTGCTTTACTTCTCATCATTTGTGCAGATTACACTGAAGCCCATGCAACCTGCACAGACATACTAAGCAACACAATTTGATTTAACAAAGTGGTCTAATTAGAACGTATGTTACTTCTAGCAGCGTAGCTTAGATGTGGAATATTTGTCATGTGAAACTTAAGAGCATGAATGAAAGAGAATCAAATCTGGCAGTTTAATGATGCACTGGTTTATATTATTCACTGACTTAATGCTAATTAACATGCCTACATTATATGTCCTCCTAGGATTGCTGAGGTACTAATTATGTTTAGAAGATGAGCACTGTGAATACATGAACTTTCATATAGCAACTAGTATAAATGCAGTACAGATACCTGATGGTATCCAGTGGCTGATTTAAAATCACTGCATATCTAAATAGCCTTATAAATAAATAATTTCTTTTTTAAAAGCTTTTAGAACTGGTGCTTGCTGGTTCCCCTACTAACAGGGAGGAAAGGTCCTTGGAAAGCCACTGAAGAAAGAGCAGCCTTTGCCTGTGGGAGTCATATCTGTGTGAAAGTTCAGACACATTTGTGTCAAACTGTGCCTGGTCTGTGGTGAGTCAAGGGCTGAGTTACTGTGAAAAGCAAATAAATTCTGTCTGTCCATGTATTTACACTGGAAGTTGTTTTAGGGAGGGATCTCCACTGCTCCATGTCTTTATAGTGTCTAGTACTATGTGTTCTGGTTGCTGCTGGGGCCTCTGTGAGCTACTACAATGTGTGTAATAAATAATGTCCTTCATTCCAGACTCTAGTTACCAAAGTATCTGTTTGATTCCATCAGAATTGCTACAGTAGCTTGTTGATCTGTTTAGTGTCAAGCTAATGAGTGTGTGTGTATGCATGTCAAAAGCCTGTCTTGCTGTATAATGCAGTAATTTGGCAAAGTAAACTGGTGTAGGGGAGGGGTGTCACAGTTTGAGACTTTTCAAAGCAGCATTTATGTATCTATACCATTTGTGCCAGAATTACAAATGGACAAAACTCCACTTCTAATGAAGCTCTTCATGTGATGCTGAGAGCTTTCTCCCATCAGCCATTCCCTCCCTGCCGCATCCAGGACCTGGATTCTGTGCTTCACAAGGGTGCACTCACATTGTGTTAACAACCTTGGTGAGAGCCCATGTTTTTGACCCTCAGGTGTGGGTGACAGGCATTCAAGGTGTGATTCATCAGACTAAACACACATTTCATTGATTAGTCTGTCTAGAAGAGCCTTCAAGTCTCAGCACCTGCATTTGTCTTGGACCCACCAGACCACAGCCAGTGTGCCAGCATCACATGCACATCATGAGCTATGGGGCTGCCGGGCTGTAGGGAGATCACAATGCCATCCACAAGAAGGGGGAGGATGAAGGTCCTAAAACCTCTGCACCACCCAGCTGGTGCAAGCCGGTTGTGCCATGGCTGCACATCTTTGAACCAGACAGTTTGAAACATTCACGCTTTGCCCCCTCCAAGGTGCTATGGCTGTTCCTCTAATGTACTGTCCTGCTGCAAGAGCATGTGTGGTGGGGGAGCACCAAGGGCAGCTCCAGACTTGCCAAAATCTGGCCCAGACTGCTGCTGCTAGCTCTGGTCACTCAGACAGGAGGGTGGAGAGCGCATGGTAGCGCAGCATGGAAGGGTGGGCAGGGAGGGAAGGTGCAAAGGCACAGGGACAGGCAGCCCTCCACTGTGTTCCGAGTTGACTTCGCCAGTGCAAGGTACAGGCTTCAGATGGCTTCTTTTACAGATAACCGTGACAGAGGGCAGCTGCATGAGCTAAGCAGTCCCTCAGCATCCCTCCATAATTCAGAAGGCCAGGCAAGAAGCTGAACAGGATTGCCGCTGTCTCCTGGTCTATGCCTCCTGGTCCATGGGGTCTATTGGGCAGACACCTAAAAAATCCTGGGGGACTGTGGTTCCTCTGAAGACTTCACACTCAAGGAATGCTGCACCTGGCCCCGTGCTTTGCCCGGCCTCCCCACAATTTGTAGTTCTCAAACAGGAACAAAAGGGACAAGAGATTGGTTTGGTTTCCTTCCACAATTCAGGAATTTTCCACAGAAAGAGCTGCAGGGCAATATAGCAAAAGTTGTACATAAAGCAGTGTTGTATCTGGTGTTCGGATTTGCGCTATTAAATATAAACATATATCCGGTTAATTTTGGTGGGTATTTTAATAAGGAATTAGGAAGGTTTGAAAATGTGGGAGAAAGGTCCTGAAATTTTTTCAAACCAGCAGATGATTCATATTTATAAAATAAAACCAGAGCAGTTCGGATGCCATTTCTCTCGTCAGGGCTCACTTCAAAGATTATAATTAGAGCAAATCTGATATACATCAACCAAGTCCAGGCAGGAAAAATGTGCTTCTAATGGAATCTTGAAATCACATCTGCGTTTTAGACCCATCCTTTGGATGTGCCACCACACATATGTCCATGGGGAGAAGACAGTTCAGCGTGAAACAAGGTCCTGTTTGTTGCTAATGAGTACTGACTCTACCCTGCAAAACTCTTATCTGATCAGTGTCTTTCTTTTGTTGAGTACAATTGAGTGGTCTGCATTCAAAAAACAAATCACTGCATCTCTCTCACATTTACAATGCAGCTTTGGGATGTAGAGATAATCTAATGAACCTGAATTTATGACTCAGGCTTCTAATAAAGCCTAAAATTATAACATCTTGAATGCAATATTGCTGTCAGGCTTGCTATCAGGTGGCAGAAGAGATGTCACCAGCACCCTGCAAGTACATGGACTTCATTTATTACTGTTTTTTGCCCATTTGTAAAGTATCTACAAGCCCAGAGCTACTCTCAGGTTTCGTGGCACTAAGCACTGGACACCGGTATGACTAAAGCTCCTTCTCTAAAAGAGCTGAATTACACCACAGGGCCAGGGAAGCAGGCGCAGGGATGGGGCATGGGGTGCCCTGTCTGCCCTTGCTCCCTGGGTGTGGGATGCTCCCAGTGCCACTGGAAACATGCTTCCCTGGCAAGTGGCCGCTTGCCTTTTCACCTGTTCCCTCATTACCATCCCTCTCTACTAACGAGAACTGCGGTGCTCCTCACTCCCTGCAGGGCCAGGGCTGGGGCCAGGCCAAGGGCAAGTGGGATAATTGCTCCTGAAATACATGTGCCGACCGAGCAGGGGGACCCACTGGCCAAATAGGGGTTTTGCTAAATAAGGACAATTGCAGAGCATGCTTCATCCCCTTGCTGGGGCTCTATACATAGATGAAAGGCACACCCAGTTGTGAAATCTGTTGAAATGGCACACCTGGTGCTGTCTGCAAGGCTATTCACAACCGTTAGCAGGTGCGACTTGGCCTTTGTGGCCATAAAAGTCTGGCTGTGCAGCTCCTGCTGTGCTCTCTGCTCCTTCACCAACCCGCATGCTTTGGCAGGGGAGGCTGTCACAGATTAATACGGTTGTTTGAAGCTCTTAGGAGCCACCGCCTGAAGCATGTATCGGCTTCAGTGGGATCAGAATAAGGCCTGTGCACACAGGATGGATTTGCAGCTTCCGCCTCGGTGGCTGCGCCGGGGTGGAGGTAACAGGCAGGGCAGGGCAAGGCTGCTGCCTGAGCAGGGACACAGTACAGTGTGGTCCACATTGCTGCATGGTCCCCATCGCTCAGTCCCAGGGATGCTGCCAAGTGGCCCTGCCAGTAGGTACCAGCAATTTGCGATCTAGCTCCTGTTTGGGCTCATCCTCTCTGGAAAGGGTTTTGCTTGCTCTCTTTTGGAATGCCGCATCTCAAACAGCGCAGCAGCAAGGTGCAGCTCAAAAAACCACATCCCCAGTCCAGACTTGACTTTCGTGTAAGGAAGGACACTGTGGACTTTGGAGAAGGTTTTCAGCAGGAGTTTTCATCCCACTGGTTCACACAGGATTTAGCTTGATATGAACAAAAAAAGGGATGCTTGTACAAATCCCACTTCTACTGCAAAGGTTACTTCTCAATTTGTCTAATCCTTCAGAGTCAGTCTCAGTCTTTAATTGGGAACACATTTTTATGAGAGCTCTCCAAATGAATCATCAGTGAGAAGAAGTCATAACGCAGCTAAATGGCCCAGATTGCAGCACTTGGAGCTCTCTGGCCTGCCTCAGGACTGGCTTCAGTGCATTTCTCGTAATTGGAAATACAATCAGATAGACATTAAACCCTGCCAGCCATGGACTGTATTGCTTTGCTGCTGAGGTACTCAATATCCTGTGCTGGCTTCAGTCTCTAATAAAACATTCAAAAGCACTGGTGCTCAGAGAAACCTGTTTTGGACACATGGATATGATGACAATGGCCTGGGAATGGGCAATGCAGGAATGGCTGTCAACCACCATCGGTTCAGGGTGTGAACCTGATGCCTCAGCCTAATTGACAGGAAAATCCCTGGGCATTTCTTGTTCAGTGCTCAGGGTATGGGTGTGATGAGTAGAGCATTCTGAAATAAGATTTTATCATTTTACCAGAGCAAAACATTGCTGTGATCAGTATGAATATGTTGGTGGCAGCCAGGAGCCAGCCCCAACTCGAGAACATCCAACAACCTGGGGATGCTGTGTGAGCCCTGAGCAGCATGTGTGTGTGTGGGGACCTCCTGGAGCCAAGGCCACCCTTGTGAGAGCCTGAGCCCTCTGAGTGATGCCATCCAAGTGTGTGTCCACCACACTGTGAGCACAGCCTGAGTTTAACCCCATTCCCTTGGACTGTAGAGAGGGCCTTGGATAAAAAAAAAAGCAGTAATGAATGCCCCTGAAATAAGACTCAGAGGATAACATCCCACATAGCACCAGGTGCAATGGAGACATGGGTGATGAGCCTTTCTCCCTGCTGCTTCAGGGTGCCTGGCACAGCACTGGTCCCATCCCCAGCCCTTTCCAAAGCACTCAGTGGGGATGGGGTGTTCAGGTAACACTTTCAGCAATCACTAAAAGAACTGGACAAGGCACAATCACACACTTGAGAGCGCTAGAAACAATTTAAGAAATGTCCTTGGACAATCGTTGGGAGCTGTGCAAACAGCTCCCCAGGGCTTGGGAAAGGGGCCCAGCAGCCCGGCCCCGCAGGAATGCACTCGCACCGATAACCTGCTCCGCTCCTTTCTTAACCTCCTTCGTTTCGCTCCCCCACTTCAGGCTGCCCCTGCACCCTCTCTGGGGTTTCAGGGTGCTCCTTGTGCAGTAAAACCAGGAAAAGAACCCAAAGGTATTGCAAGCCCATGCTGCACGATCTCCAGCTCCTTTTTTCTATTCAATATGAAACCAACGGACTTTGTAAGGACTTCAACACTTCACACAGGTCTTCCCAGAGACATAGCTTGGGTTTTGCCCCTGTGGCTTCACAACTTCAGCAGACATTAAGCTGAAGCCTCCTGGCCCGCTCAGGTTCGTACTGCAGCCTGAATGCTGCTGACCTGGAGCTGGAGGTGCCGCAGGAATGCAAGGGCTTGAGTTACAGCAATCCATCAGCTGGTAATCCATTCTGCCAGCCCCACTGCTCCATGCTGCTATCAATCATGCACGGAGACCAGGGTGGGTTTGCACCACGTTTGCCCCCACTCTGGCAGGTTTGTAGGGTTCTGGTAGCAGAGGAGAGCCCCAAGCATCGGGAGGCTAAATACAGCTCCCAGAGCTGGAACAGCCCAGAGCAACAGGAGAGGGAGGGAGACATCCATAACGACTCTCCTTGGTCTTTGGGCCATGTGTCAGAATCTGTTCTGTCTCTTCCTATCAAAGTAGCAGAAGTCGAGGGACCA